TCTCTCTCTCTCTCTCTCTCTCTCTCTCTCTCTCTCTCTCTCTCTCTCTCTCTCTCTCAGAAACACTTCAGAGTGAAGAAACTTGCGCCTGCAGAGAGCGGAGGAATAATATTTGCTTGGCTGTCTACTTGGCCCACTGTGTGTGTGTGTGTGAGTGTGTGTTTGTGTGTGAGAGTGTGTGTGAGAGTGTGTGTGTGTGTGTGTGTGTGTGTGTGTTCTTGTTCTCCTTCGTAGCTCCACTTCCTTCTCATAATTCCTGCAGTTCCTCGTCCCTCTTCCTCTTCAGACTCGTCGACTGACACGAACGTAAAACTGTCGATCTGGCAGCTTTTTTTTTCCCTCCAGCATCACTTAAAAAAAAAAATAAAAAAACTGCTGCAGCTGCAGGACTGTGGTCAGAATGATGATGAGGATTAATTCACCGCACTACGTCTTCACTGTTTGTCTCTGGATTTCTTCATATGTTTGTTTGAGGAACTGAATTATTTTTCTGCAATTTCAGTTTTCCGCTGGAAAAATAAGAAATAATTGTCCTGCCCTGTTCTCAGTCAGGACTCAGCGACTCAGACTGAAAATCTGTGGGTAGATCTTCAACATGTTGTTGGTGCAGCGCAGCCTAAAAATATCCAGAGTGGGTGAAGATTTGTCAATCAGGAACAGAAAGACTCTCAGCTGCTACAGAAAGTGATAGCAAGCTGTCACATCTGCCAGAAGGGGGGGGGGGGGGTTAGGGGGTACGGGGTTTGCAGGGTGCCCAAACTTTTGCATGTGCCACAATTAATCTTTATTTATTTTTTTAATTCATTAAAGATTATAATGTAAGTGTTGTATAATTTCAAGTGTCTTTAAAGTCTCTATCTCCACATGAGGTAACACGACTGAGCCGACTGATGAAATGGTATCAAGGATTTATAGATGGTTTATAACTAGTTTATTAATTAGCTTGTTTACATTTTATAAATCATAAATAATTATAAGCAAGTTTTAACAGTTTTCATACGTTGATGCAGGCTCACTATTTGGCAGGAGCTAGTTAATTCTTTCTACTCAATAATCTGACTAATGAGTTCCTATTATTTGTAACTGGCTTTAATGTAAAGTGTAAAACACATCATCATTTATTAATAAGTCACTATAAGACTCTTTTTACCAGTAATAAATACTCATACTAACAATAAAACATCGATCTTACGATTAATCGAAAAATTAGTTCGTAAAGCTGAAGATCTTTGTGTTTTTAAACTGTTAGTTTAAATACGTCACCTTTGGCTCTGGAAAATCCCGAGGGGCATTTCCTACTTTTCTATTTGAATGATTAATGGAAAAATAGAGATGAATTAATAATGAAAGTAATAATTTATTACAGCTCCTGTTACATATCAGTTTGTTGCTCAGACCTGACCCGCAGACTGTCACCAACATTTTTTATTTTCCATCTGGATTTTAAATAAACAGTTGGTGTCTTGACTTAGAAAGAACCAGATAATGTTAAAATACACATAGATAATAAATGAGTCAGTCAGTCTGTCTGTTAGTGATAAAAGCCCACAAACAGTTCTGTTCAACACATTGTGATATCTGTGTTAACCACAGGGGGAAACATGTAGTCAGGTGAGGCTGGACTGATGTCAGGTTTGGAGCTTCAGTCCTGTGGAAATGTCATCAACACCAAAACAAAAACAACCTTCCTTTGAAACCTCCAATAAAGATCTTTTTACATCCGACACTTTCCTTCTCCCTCTCGTCTGGTTTTAGATTTAAAGACTTTAAAGGTTCGGTATGTTCACGATGATAATCAGAAATGCTGAGCCCTTTCTTTCTGCCTCTCTTCCAGGAGCCTGTTTTCTAGGAAATCCAAAGAGCCCAAGGCACCGTCCCACAATGCAACAGGGTGGCGACTGTTCGGGAAGACAGCAGGAGGCAGAGAGGTCGATCCAACTAAAGACGCCGCCTCCACGTTGTCCACGGAGCAGGTCGGTTCTTTAAACACACACATTCACATCTTCCTCTCCACGCTGGTGGAGTTTTCAGTCTGAGCTTTTCTTTTTTATTTATTTTTTCACAGTTTAAAAAACACAAGCTGCTCCATCAAGGCAAAAATCCTAATCACTATTATTTTGATCAATATTGAGATCAGGATTGTTTAACACAATTCCTCATTGACTTTGGAACTTTCCTCGATTTAAATACAATTCAACTGAAAAACAAATAAAAAATTAATTTAAAAAAATGAGATAAATAAATGAAATAACAAATAATAAATATATACAATGAAATATATAATTTAAAAATAAATAAGGTCAACTATGTAGTAACATTAGTGTACTTCCACAATCAACTGAAAACTACCAAACACATATTCAGTATATAAAAATAATAAATAAAAATAAATAACATACTAAAAACTCCAATATTCTACATTCTGGTAAATTATATTCCACATGTTCGGCTCAGTAACTCAGTCCAAGGAAATTAAAGGCTGGAACGACTCAAGGCGACACATTCCTGCGTACATCGCTAACGTACGCCGAGACGCAACCAGGAAGTGGATTGGTGGTGGGGGGTGGGGGTTGGGGGGGG